GCTTATCTTGCAAAAGTGAAAATACAAAGGTTTAATTTATCTTCTAAAGTATCCTAACCAAACAAGTCGAATGACAATTCTAACCTTTTTAGCAATAGAAAATAACATAAATACAAATACAAATACTACAACTAATTATTGTAACAATTTTTGGTAAGAGAAATTGTGTTTTACATACATACGGTTATGGATAAATGTACTCCATTATACGCAACTTTCAATAGTTATATTCATATATATTCTTATGCATCAATTGCGCTATATAATTTTTCCTAGACATTTGCGTAGGATTAAGTAAGATTTGTATAAACATTTGTTAATGCACCCATCCGAAGAAGATGATGTGTTCCACACAAATCCTACGTATAGATGCAACCCTGTCCAAATCCTAATGACCCATATTGAGGGAAAGATTTTTTGGAACATAGGCAATGCCAAAGTGTTGACCCCAAAAAATGGTCCAAACACGTGGCTAACAGAGTTCTTCCACGTTAGCTCCTCCCTGCACGAAGCAACACACTGTTAATCGCTCATGGCCTTTTCTGGTGGAGGTGGAAGCGGCCGTCCACTCCGACGATCAAGTTAGTAAGTCAGCAGACGAAATCTAGGACGTTTGGCGATGATGTTCGCTGGAATATAATGTTTGTGGTGGTGTATGTGGGAATGGTCATAATATAAGACTTGTATTTTTTCTCTCTTTTCAAGGACCCATCACTTCTATAGTGCAAGTGTGGGTATTTGTAATGAGAAGGGAATAAGAGAAGAACCGTTGGATGTAGAACACATGGCTCTGAATCTAGGGCGGTCCTCCTGTGGGTTTCAATCCATCAATCCATAAGTGGGTGGTTCATTTAATGCACCTGACACAGTAATGCGTGACTTGACATTTTGGAGTCTAGCATACGTCTCATCAATCACTTCTAAGGATTTGGTTCTTGAGATCTTTCCATAAAAGATCTTGTTTATAGGGTTGAAGTGGAGTAGTTATGGCAGGAATGATAATCGTGTTTTGGATGTTATCACTTTGGACTTAGTTTCGGTTGCAATGAAGTGATGCAGAGTACGGACCTTTGTTCGTCCACCAAGTGGCGAGACGAAATCAGTTTGTCCACGTGGTGGAGGCAAAAATCAGTTCGTCCAATATGTGGCGGAGGGTGAAATCAGTTCGTCGCCATGTAGAGGATGAACCCAATGCATCCGCCACATGGCAGTAGTATTCAGTTTGTCCCTTAACATGGCAATGAAGTGGGAGACGACTTGGAAAAAACCCGTAACACCAAGTTCTCTGGATAAATAGTTTATACAATTTTGCCAGTTGAGAGAACTACAATTTGGCTAGAAAATAATAAGTTGTCGTACATAATGACATGTATAAAATATTTTCTAAATAGTTCCTGTTCATTAATATCTTTGATGATTATGCGTGCATCTTCATATACCAATAAAAATAAAACATGGAATTAAGTATTACAATATGGCTATAACTGTAAATATTTTGTATTTTTTGTTAAATAATATTGGCTATTTATTTACGTCTGTGTATATACTCGATACATTTATGATCATGAGCATGCGATTAAGTTGTGGTTAGCACCAAGGAGTGCACTAAGCCCATGTCCAGTACAATCTCTTACCTCATCTAATCGTTCTCCTTCTTCTGATGCAACCCTTTATCAACAAAAATGTTGATGCTTTATAAGATCCCTCTAACTTGATCTGATGTCTCCTTTGCAGTAAATAAACCTTTTCCACTACATATATATCCAACCAGTACTCGACAGCAGTCATGTAGGAAGAGACAAAAGTAGAGGTGTCAAGACGGACGGGCCAGCCAGACCCGTGAAAACCGGGACCGCGGGCCGACCCGTGACCCATGCGGGCGGTTCACAGGCCAA